TGGATCTCCACTGCGCACTCCCCCCATCATTCACTATGGTAAGATCCTGTGTGATCTTGGGAGAGTTACTTAACCTCTCTGATCCTCAGCTTCCTCTTCTGGAAGGTGGAAATAGTAAAGAGCTCCCCGTCATCAGGCTCTTGTAGGACTAAATTAGACAATACTTGCAAAGCACTAACATGGGTGTCAGTAGTAGCAGCTGGGTATCGTTTTGTCCTGCCCTCCCCTGGGACAGTGACGCAGAGAGAGCTGCAATGGGGATGTGTAAATAGGACAGCGCCATCTCGGCCCACCCCCACCCCCCCACCCCCCGCTTTTCTCAGTCCAGCCCAGTAACATGGGTGTAAGTTACTTCTACCTAAAGAAGCTGCTTCCTGTCAGCGGTGAGCACGCTCTGATGTGGGAAAGACCACGCACCTTCTGAAGGAGTTCCGTATGGCTGGCCAGAGACACTCAGGCCAAGAGGTCGGTCAAAGGCCTGGCTCTGAGTCCCGATGACCCCGCAGGGGTGGATTCTGGAACTGGGGGTTTGCAAGGTTAAAGGCCAGCCCTGGTGAGGGCGGGACAGGGCCGGAGCAGGCTCCACCCATGGTAGGGGACACTGGTCTTTGCCTGCAGGGCAGTGGTCTGAGGCCACTTCCTCTTTTCTCTCGAGGAGGCAGGAGCAGGAGCTATGGGAGAAGAATCTGGGACATCTTAGCCACTTCTTGTCCCCAGGCAGGTGTGGCACCGAGTGCTGGCTGCAGGCCTCCATCCTGTTGAGGGTGACGGAGGGCCGGCCTGGAGGCCCGTGCGATGGAGGGGGAAAACGTGAAGGGGACATCCGTGTCCAACCTGGTGACTGCGCTGGAGAACAGCAGGTACGAGGGGACTGGCAGCCACCGTGGGCCCTTCCGGTGAGCAACGCTGCCTCCCTCTAGCTGAGCAGCACCAAAGCCTCCCCATGACCTGGGGGTGGGAGGGTGGGGATGGGGGTGTCCTTAGGGCCCCAGGAGCTGGCAGGGCTCATAGTGCTTGGTGTACATCAGGCAGAAAGGCCAGACAGGCATGGCCGTTGTGAAAAGTGAGCTGAGAAGATCTGAGGCCCCTGCAGCACCCCTCAAGAAAGGACAGCTAATATTTATCCAGCCTTGACTCCCAGGAGTAGGGCGACCATGCCGTTCCAACCGGGGCACCCTCGAAATCCAGAGTGGATGCCCTTATCATCCCCCCTTCCCTGACCCCCGCCCAGGACAGCAGGGGAAGCTGGGACTTCACCGGGCAACCCTGGGTGCCTGGTCACTGGCCTGTGGGCACTCGCCGAATGAGTCTTGTGACTCACTTCACCGATAGGAGCATCAAGCAGAAAGGATTCCAGATGGGGCCAGTCCAAGTCCTTTGGGGCGTGGCTGGGGGTTTTGTCTGCAGGCAAAGGGCTGCACAAGACTGTGGAGCAAGACGTGTGTGTGTGTGTGTGTGTGTGTGTGTGTGTGTGTGTGTGTTACAGATCTCTGGGAGTGGGCACACGGAATAGAAATGTGCATCAGGAACGATGCTGAAGAAAGCTTTAGGAAAGTACAGTGGTGGGGGAGAGAAGCAGGATGGGTGGGGGGGAACGAGCTCAACTGCGGTCCAGTTGTAACAGAGCCCGTCAGCCTGGCCCAGGGAGCTCAGGCTGGGATGACCCCGAGGATTGTTTCAATGAGGTCAAGGGTTAAGGGTCTTTTTACCCTCATACTGACTGCTCAGTGCATGTGGGCTGCCCTGGGCGGGGTGGGCTGGTGGGGTGGGGAGGGTGGTGTGACCTCGGGCAAGACAGTTCCCTCTAAGGAGGGGGATGCCTCCAGAGGAACAGGGAGAGGGAAGGGATG